TGAGCTCGGTTTTGGATGACATCTGAAAACCTCAGAAAGGGAAATAGGGGTTTGGCATGTGCGATTAGACAATGTCAGGCAGGAGTAGAAAATTCACATAAAATATGGGGAAAAGGAGTGAAAAATTCCTCCTTATAGCGTGTGCTTTACACCCAAAGTCTGCAATTCTAGGACACTGGTTTTACATGCCCATATGTACATAATGATATAATGCACCAAGATGAAACCTTAACAGACGTGTTCCTTGTGTAATTCTGAACACATTGATATACATTTGTGTGCATTTTCAGCATATACTTATTATTTTGGGCTCTGTTAACACCCGCTAGGTTGGGGGCGGGGGGGTCAAATTGACCCCGCCACATAGGTATTCTAGAATCGGTTCCGAACGGCGTGGCATAGCTGCGCCAAATTCTGCATAGCTATCGAAAAAATTAAACAGCGGATCTTCTGACATTACAAATTTAGATGTGCGTTTTGAGGTCACTGATTTATGGCAGGTCAAAGTCAGGCCATGCTTTCAGCGAAGGCAATTTCTAAAGAGTCGTTCAATCTGATCCAACAAAGGAGTGTTAGACGAAGCCATACATCTCAGAGACACTTTCTCAGGCAACACAATAATTGAATAAACAAATTGCATTGACCTAAGGTCACTTATAAAGGACAGACCAAGGTCAAAATTAAACTGCTTTAGTACTTGAGAGCTTACTGCATAGGATAATCTGCAGCACTCATTTCGAATTTATTGACACCAAGAACCGCATTATAACCTTTCATATACTACTTTAAGGTCAAAATAGGTCACTGACCTAGGATGACCCAAGTCAATATTTTGTTTTTATGAACATATTGCCTACCCAAATCTATGTCGCGTATTCAAGTGCAAAATTCAAAGTGGTCTTGTATAGGCAACTGACTTAAGACGAGCATGTGATCTGCTTGGAACAGTTATCTGCCTTCCAGGGGCCCTTTGGAGACCAGCCTGGGGTTTGATTTTGTTTGACCTTATTTGACCCGAAGTTCATGACCTAGGAACTTCAAAATTGTGCGTAAGCGAGTTCACGTACAGGTGAAAGCACCCTTTGAATTTGGTGTCGCTATCTCTCCTAGTTCCTGTGATCTCAGGGGGTCACATTGACTTCCCCACCCGAGCGAAAGGGTATCCAGCCAGCCACCCGGACGCGTGATAATGTAACAGTGAAGTCGCGCCGTGCGTGATCTGTGGCTTCGTTGGATGTCGCCCGCCACCCGCCACAGCCGTGGAATGCTGTGCCTGTGTTCCTAAAAAGCTGTCGCTACTAACAGACCAGAAAAGCTACAGACATTTTCTTGATTTGAAATAAATGCAGTTAATTCCTTAGACGCCTAATAAAACTTAAGACACGATTGCACGAGATGCCGGAGGGATGTCCTTAGAAAACCTTAGGTGGGTCTCATTGACTACCCGCTACCAAGCGCGGGGGTCAACTACTTCTCCTTACAGATGGTTAATCAAGTGCCTACCGCCCAGCGCTGGGTAACGAAAAACACTGCACGGAAATGTGCGCCTGCAAACATGGGGTTTACATGTTGTCTTTTGCATGAAATTGGAATCACTGTCAAGAGCATTTCATATGTCTTTACATGATGAAACTCGGAGCTTATCTAAGGAAACGTTAACTTCTACTTTGCTTTTTTATATGACGTGAACAGCTCCCTCATAATACCAATTCCACAAATTCATCAATTACTCCAGCACTACCAACCCTGGCAATGTGGCTGATGCCTACCATCGCTACCTTTCCCCCTCCTAGTCTATGGCATGTGGAATTGTTCGGCAGATCTGACTGGTCTGGTGATGCCAGAAATACATGTGCAGGGACAGCTGTCGGTGCAGTTTCACTTCATACATGCTTCAGAGAAAACATTAGCTGAACAAATCAGTACTTTTTGCAAATGTACTCGCAAAGGACAAAAGACATTGAGGTCCCAGCTAAGTGGACCTGACAGATTATCCAGTATTATGTTCTTTTGAATACTGCAGTATAGGTCCTCAACAGAATCGCATGGCTACACTCATCTTTGAGCTGCCCACGCCTTCGCAGAATGCAGGATAGGGGTTTGCTATATTAAGATAAGTTCTAAACAGTTTAGAGATTTAAAGAGCTTTAAGCTAGTGTGCTTTTCACCAGCATTGATAGTAGAGACAATTTCAATATCTAAAGTTTCCAGCAAGTTTATCCAAGGTCAAGCGACAAGTTTTTGCATACAAATTATGCCATTACACAAACAAACACGCACAGACGCACGCACGCTCGCGCGTACACACGCACACGTTTTGATTCAGGCATTGCCGAATATTCTGAGGACACATGATATCCAAGTATTGATTAGTGGTAGTAGGGGATTGGTAAGTACTCAGTGAAGAGGCAATAGAGTGGTTCATCATGGCACACATGAAGTTCTAGCTGAAACCGATATAATCAAATAAATATATTCCAGAACACAGAAGGTGCGGCAGCCTGTCAGGCCATGGACACCAAACCTCACACTTTGTCCTCTTAAATATATGTACTCGAAGCATCGAACAGGTCAAACGTGGGCACCTTTTGTACTGACATATCCCTTTAGAACTTCGGGGTTAGAATAAGAGAATGTTGGTTCCTGGCGCTTGAGGTTCTTTTCTTGAAGAGTCTAAACAATATCGGCTGTTCTGAGCGTTTCATTTCGAAACAAACTCACGGCCATCGCAATGTCTACCATTCATAACGTTACTGGAAACCATGGCGGAGCATTTATTCACCGTCGGTAAATGCATGACTGACGAGAAAACCAAAAGCAGTCAAACGCCGCCAAGTTGGAGATTTGTCCCCACTCCACAAAACACGGAAGACACGTGAAGAAGAAAAACTGAAAGCAGGTAAAATCAAGGCTTTGTTCTGAATGTTGTGAAGGAAAAGCACAGCCAGCACGGGTTTTTCCAAGAATTTCTTAGTAACTTAATTTGTCATATGAAAGCCTTACGATCATCCCTGTCAGGGACTAATTACCACGGAAACTGATCCCTGGTGCTGTCAAAGTTAGGAGAGGCGTCGCCCCCCAGTCTAAAACTTGGGGGTAAGCACCCATCCTGCCCCCCCCCCCCCCCCCTGTTCCCGCGCCTATGGTTGAAGAACAGTGCTTTGCGTACTTCAACCTTGGTTTGAAATTAGCCCATAAAAAGAATACACAAGGATAAATAAGCTCCATGCTTTTACACGAATAAGGTTACGGCTTCTTATCACTTCGGGCTTCATTTCTGAGGCCTGGACACATATCTTACCAAGTACATTTAGTGGTCTACCCCGCCTCCTGCTGGGTGAAAATGATTCCGCCGTTAGTCAACAGCTTATATCAGGACCACCACCAGAGTTCACGGCCTGTTCCGTGGGAATGACTGCATCTGCGTTTTCTTTTTATGCTTCTGTCATGCTTCATGTGTGGTAGCCTTAGCCATGTTTGGCAGTCATGCCTACAACATGTGCCCATTCTGCGATGCCCGGCGCCGGATTGTTCACGGCCATCATCGCTACGACATTACCGGCCAACTTCGGAGTGAAAAATCTGGCAATAACGAGGCATAAACCTCAAAACACCAACCTGCAAATTGTTACAAGCCGATGTGGAGTGTGACACATTTGGGGACAGTCGATATATTACGTTTGGCATTTTGCTCATTTTTCAACACCTTCCTCTCCCCCGGTTACCCGCTGGCTACGGTGGAAGAAAACATCTATCCCTAGTTACGCTGTTAAAAAAACGCTCTGTGAGACTCTCCGATTACGCTCCATAAATCAACATTCCATCAAGAGAAATCATCCGTTCAAACGTAGCTCAACATGCACTTAAGACGGCAGCCTGACCCCGCTTGAAATCTCAAAAATAATGGGAGATAATCAACAGGGCCAAGTGTAGTTGTACATGATCTCATTTGTATCAAATGTTGAGGTCCCTGGTTATGATTTTCGGTCAAATAAGATTAAACAAGATCAGACACCTGATCGGTGTCTGAGACCCTTCAGTTATCTTCATGTAACCGCTTTTAGCCTAGATATATTTTTAAAAAAGCAAATCGGCCATGGCATTCATGTCATGTCAGTAGCCTCATTAAACCTTAAGCAGAGTATGGCGACCAAAAATATATGACAGTGCTTCTATTCTGGCATAGCAAAATTTTATTTCTAGCCGTTACACAAATTGCAGCGTGGCTTTGTCCCGCCGTTCCGAAGTTATTCTAGAACAGCGTTTGAGAAAAGGGGCCAACTGACCGCGTCCCCGCCCGAGCGCGACTGAATCTAAAAACAGCCCTATAGGCCGTTTGCATTACGCCTACGCGAAGAATATGGGCGTAATGCAAAAGCGCACAGCATTGAGCGTTGCGATGGGATTTGGGAGACATTTAGCGAAATTGATCATAGTCTGCACATCTCATGCATACACCGACATACACCGTACATACACATTTCATACACTGACATAGTCTGCACATCTTCGCGAACGTGTAGCTCAGAATTTAGAGGGGTTGAAATTTTTAGAAGGGCAAAGCTGTGAACTGCGCGAAATGATCTTCAAAGTGTCTATTTCAACTCAAAACCCCACACAAATATGGGACGCTCCCTTTAAGGATATTCGAATCACCCATCGATTAATGTTTATTGAGTGGAAATGAAAGGTACCTCCGAAACGTTAATGGGGCATCACACAAGACCGAGTCAGAGAACCAAACAAGCGAAGGTCTGCGGTTTGATTGAATATATAGCATATACGCTAGCGGATCTGAGAGCGCGGTCTCTCCCACGCAGGTGTTCAGTTTTGTCGATACAGACAGCGATTTCTCACCTAATCGCAGATATGGGCCCTATTTAACTAGAAACGCGCCACCTGAGAGGTGCACACTTCATTCCATCGCAGCCATGCAGCTCCTTCTGGTGTTCGCCGTTGTGGCTTCTGCCGCGGCCTTCGTACAGGAGGCGGAGTGAGAGGACTTCAAGACCACCTACGGCAAATCCTACGCAAGCCCGAGCGAGGAGGCGCGCCGCATGGAGGCGTATGCTGACAACAGGGCGTTCGTGGCCAAGCACATGGCTGAGTGTGAGCAGGGCCTACACACCTTCACTGTGGGCATCAACCAGTTTGCTGACCTGAATATTGACGAGTTCAACGCCCTGTACAAGGGCCTGCAGCCGGGGAACGTCACCATACCAGAGCGGCTGCACCAGTACTCGGGCCGCGTGCAAGCGGATACGCTTGACTGGCGCCAGTACGGCGTCGTCACGGAGGTGAAGGACCAGGGCGCGTGCGGCTCATGTTGGGCCTTTTCGGCCACCGGTTCGCTGGAGGGCGCCTGGGCGCTGGCTGGTCGCCAGTTGATTTCGCTCAGCGAGCAGCAGCTGGTCGATTGCTCACACCTCTACCTCAACCTCGGCTGCAAGGGCGGCCGCATGGACAGTGCCTTCAGGTACATCCACGACAAGGGCGGAATCATGTCCGAGATGTCGTACCCGTACACGGCCACCGACGGCAGCTGCCGTGCCAACCCGTCCTGCTTCGTGGCGCAGGTCAGGGGCCACACCGGCGTGAAGATCAGCTCGGAGAGTCACTTGCTGGACGCGGTGGCCGGACACGGCCCTGTATCAGTGTCAATCGACGCGTCGAAGCAGTCGTTCCAGCTGTACAGAGGCGGCATCTACAACGAGCCCAGCTGCTCCAAACTGCATCTCGACCACGGCGTGCTCGTCGTCGGCTACGGCACCGACAGCGGCATCGACTACTGGATCGTGAAGAACTTCTGGAGCGCCAACTGGGGCGAGCAGGGCTACGTCAAGATGCTGCGTAACCACGACAACCAGTGCGGCATCGCCACCCAGGCTTGCTACCCCACGGTCTAGGTGTCCGACGATCCTTGCGGCTTTGCAACCAGCGCTGTCGTCTTAACGAGCGGTGCAAATAGATGCCTTATATGCCAATAGATGCGTCAAGACCAAATCTGGAAACACTTCAGCTGCATTTGAAGCCTTCAAATGCTGACTTTTGGTTGCACTGTAGTCAACAAAACAACAATGCACATTTATATTGACAACTAATGACTGTAGACAAGCGTCACCGCCCGCACGCAGCCCGAGTTCTGGTGTAATCTCTTTAGTAAAGTGATGCTGCCCGAGTGTACCCCCCTGTACATTAATATGTGCCCGCATGGCCGGTTTAATGCCACGCGCTAGGATGGGACTTAATTTAACCCCTAAAATATGAAGCACTAAAGGAGCTGGAGACATCAACTCACAGGGTGAGCTCACCTGCATGCGAAATTACTTGTGTCGAGCATTTAGGTACCTAGGTCATGGCCTCCGGGTCAGATAAGGAATCAGGTAAAACTCCAGCGTCCAACGTGTCCCAGACGTACATACACAAATGCTTTAAACCTGAACACCCGTTCTAAGGAAAGATCAGTGGCGTGTATTTTAGGTTACTGACTTGGTTTGACCGCTATAAGGTCATGGTCATAAAAACCCACGAGTATGTGTTGAACTTTTGAAGCTGAATAAGCTCCTGAGGGTACGCTAGCCTGTATGTGCCTAAACATAAAACGTTGAGACGAACATTTTTAGGTCGGTTACTCACTCTGACCTTAACGAATTCCATGGGTAATGTTTGGCGCGATCTCTGTTGCTAAGCAACTCTAAATAAACATCAGGAGTTATCCGATAAAGCGAGCTCTCCAGTAAAAGAGATTCATTTGGTCTCATCTTCTTCCAAAGTCTCATCTTCGTTTGTGAACCAAAGCCAACTGAATTTTTCGTAATCCTAAGTTAAATTGTCTTATTGCCTAAGCAACTGTCAAAAATGTGCATGACTTGATGCTTCACTCCGCTGGCACACCATATTGCACGATTCCCTGAAAATTGCATTCGCTGACAGACACCCTGACTTTGACCTGCCGTAGGTCAGTGATAGCAATAGATACATCTAGATTGTGACGTCAAAATATTTGCTACGCAATTGATTACAAGGGTTTAAAGTTTGCCACGCCTACAGCGCGTTTTTCGGAAAATATTTTCTTGCACGTGATAGTTTATGGTCCAAGAGCAGTTGCCCAAGAGTGTCGATCCACACTCGCCATCCTAACTGGGACTAAATGGGACACTCTGGTGGTATTTGTGCGACGCATGCAGCTGTTTCTTCACAATGTGATCATTCATCGAAATGTTGCGGTGCCTAGGATGTCGTCCTCATGAGACGGAATAATTCACGTTAATTTCACATGCCTCACCGCGATAAAAAATGATGTTCTCGTTTTTACATGCAATTTCTGATACAGCAGCCACTGCATAGGTAAGATCAAGGAAAATCAGTGACCATCATGAGTACGAATACGAAGGCGGTCTTCTCTTAGCATTAACTAAACAGGTATGAGGCTCCAGCTCCTTCTTTTTTCTTCTTTTTCCTCCTTTATCTTCTTCTCTGAATCTAACCGATTCGGCCCGAAGTGCAGGCTGTATTTTTGAAACTTTATTTTAGGAGGCGAGGGGCTGAGCAAGGGAATGGCTAAACTGACCCACAAAAATCCCAAGCAGGGCTTTTCCCGAATTGGGCCCACTTCCTTCTAGAGAACTTTGCGTATTTAATTTTTAGGATCCGGTCCAGTCTGGTCCGACAATTCCAAATCCAATTCGCGCACTAATCCACTTTTCCCTGATTTGTCAAGCAAGAATGATGCGGTTAGACTTGCCAGAAGTTTTATGACGTGAATTCACGTTAGTCTGTTTCCACATCGCATACTTTAAAACAATAAATTACAGGAAATTTGGCTATTTCGGATGTATTTGACATTAGTTAGTTGTTAATTTCCATTCGGAAAATGTGCAAAAAGTATCATAAATCAATGGATCCTAAGGTGCCTCACACAACTTGTCTGTTGGGAGTGCAATTTTACATGAACACCAGAACAAACAAAGCTTATCACATCATCAACAATTGCACGATTATCTTAGCCAATAGCTCACAAGCAACACCACATTGCAGGGGTCGAAGTCGTTTCTGGCTGCAATGGCCTCGAGACATAAACACATTATACAACAAAGTTAGACTCCATGTTAAGTGTAACATGTCTCTACATGCCACTCAACAACGTCAGCAGCACCCAGTTCATAAAGGCAGGATGACGCCCATCTAATACGCCCTCTGCATAAATACAACCATCTCAGGTAATATATGACATGTCCGTTGGTACGCGCCGGCAATTGTCCGCTGGTACGTGCCGGCGGTACACCTCTTCCACTCAGGGGAATAATACCATTGTGTCATTCTATAACTCTATTGACAGAATGCCATATACTACCAGGTCTCCCTTTCTTGCTTATGCGGGACCGCGTACGAAAGCTATTTTATTTGTAAATGTTTAAACATAGATAAAGATCCATCACGATTTTTCCTGAGACACTATAGAATGAATCATTGAAGCAGCGTGCTTAATTTGAAGATGGTGTTAAACTCAACTTTGGGTACTTGACTAGGTGACTAGAAATTATAGTGTAGCCATGAAGTTGTTTTTATTTCTCCAGCATTACCTTGGAAGTTAAAACTCTGTGGTGTGCTGTCTCCAGCAAAACATACTCCTGCCTGGTTTTCAAATCTTAAATGCAAGATCACACAAAAAGAAAAAAAATGAGATTGGAGGCATGATCAGGAGTAATTGAGGTATCTTGGCATGTTGTGTTCAAATATTGCACGTGATCGCCAAAATCATACTTTTCTAGACGTGTCATGGCCTGACTTCACGTTCTTACGTTTTTACGAACACTTTAGCAAACTGCATGTTATTCATATCATCATGCATACACCCACAATTTCGCTTCTCTCAGTACCCAAAGTATTGTCACAAGGCTTGCTAATGTTCCATGCATGTGCTGAAAATGTTTCGTGTTTCTCAGATGGCTTGTTTGTTCTTGGCAGGTCGTATTCACGCACTAAATGAAACTCTAAGCTTTCCTTGTCATAGATGAAGTTGTTTGAAGTCATCAGTGCGATATTTGCCACTTAGGCTTAGAAGGCGCGTGCAGATTGTACCAGAGTTTTTGTGATAATTTTTTTTGTTTCTGCTGCACAGTGGGGTAAGTGTGTTCTGTGTTGGAACCGCGTTTTGCGGATATCATTTAATGCGTCTAGGCATGCGGAGCTTGAATGTGACATTTTTGTTGCCAGTAGAGCGTTGATACCTCTGGATTGGTATGAAATGGTTTAGTATTTGTGCAATTTGCAAGATACTAGACATTCTGTTCAATTAAAATGTCATTCTTTCGATGACAATATAAGTATTCATCACTTAACTAAAAGTGAAATTTAATTCTGGACCTTAATTCAGAGGTGTGCAATTGAATACCTCTGAATGGCCTTGACATTGTTGTGGAATGACTTTTTTGACTTTTATCAAAAGCAGAACCTCAATGTCACCTATTTACCTGCTTAACCCACAAACACGACCATTGTTGCTCATACACCGTGCCGTCGTTCGTTGCAGGTTTCTCAAGGGACAACTTTGCGTATAACTTTTCTAGGGAGTGTTGGGTGGCATGTTGGTCACGTGACCGCGTTGCAAAAAAGGAGCAATCAACAGGGGATAGTGGATGGGGGCGGGGGTAGTCACCCCACAGTCCGTTGTGCGTCGTGACACTGACATTATCACTATCATGCAAGTGAAAAAGACGCAAGCTCATATACGTCTAGGGAGTTATGCTTAAAGTAAAAATTTCTGCAGAAGTCCTCTGATGATAGCGTGATCTATGCTTGGAATCAGCGACAATACGACATAGGGGCGGATATCAGGCCCACCAAGCAGAAAAGCTCAGCTGACGGACGCCAAACGCTGTGGGCATATAAATAGAGCTGATAGAAAACCAATGCAATTAATTTGGTTGGTGAATCAACGTATTTTGTATGCATGATGACAAGCAAAAAATGCAATATCATGAAAGTCAAGGCCTTACAGTAGTAATAGCCTTATTTCCCGGAGAAAAACCAGGAAAACGCAATCATGGATGCGTCAATATTTCAGCAACATGTCTATATCGAAACGAATAGCAGAAGACTATGATAGCTTGTCAACAGAATGACAGAATAACATCCATATCTCCTGTCTGCTGATTTTTCTTCGGAGAATAAGGCAATTATTACTTTCTTTTATTTATGTGCGTAATGTTCCCCGCAAATGCGCCTGTCAACTTACGTTATAATCAAGGCCGTTTAGCGGACTTAACACTTTTTATTTGGGCCACAAGAATATGATATCTGAAGTCAGCATGGTAGGGCACGTCAGACGCCGTCCAACGATCAATGCTTCATTCCAAAAAAGCGACAATGTGTCTCCCTAAACCCATGTAAGTCGTCCGAGCGTCCTGCAACATCACAGTTTCATTCAGCTGCCGCCTTTCGAATCGATTGCACTTACAATAACATTGAAAAATATGCCCCGCGCGCGATGCTAAACAACTAATGGCTTGAGACCAGAAATCATTTCCTCACTGGCGACCATTTCTTACACCGAGGGGTGGCAGATATGAAAGAGTACGGTTTCAAAGGAAATTTAACTTGAGGATGATTTCAGACGCATACATTGTTACTTTAAGCCTTTGTTACTAATCACTTACTAGAATCGTACCAAAGTACTGCAATAACATAAATTTATACTCAACAGAAGACTGTCAATATCGCGTTACAAGGTAGCCTTCATAAATGAAAATAAGAAATATGCAGACTTGTGTGCACGACAATGTAATATTTGTAAATGCATAAGGTCATCCATTGACTTAAATGTAGTGAAGTGAGCTACTAAGCGTTGTAGGAAACATAAAGATGTGTTTGTATCCTTATTTTTATAATGCTCAACACGCATGAC